AGGTTCTTGGATCTGTGCTGATGGATGCTTGCATCAAAGCTGCCCTTTGCTCACACCTCCTCATTCAGCAAAGCCCCTTCCTGTCACTAACAGTCTGTTTTCTGTACATCACCGGGTTGGGTTTGGCTGGGCCAGAGTTAATTTTCTTCACAGTGGCTGGTATGGGGCTGGGTCAGCTTTTGCTCTACTTATTAAATTGTCTTCACCCACAAGTTTTCTCACTCTTACTTTTCCAGTTCTCTCTCCCATCCCACTGTTGGCGGGGAGAGAGTGAGGGGCTGTGTGGGGCTGAGTTGCCAGCTGGGGTTAAACCATGACAATCACACAAAGATATTCTCCTTTCTCTGGGTGGCAGAAATAAACCAGGAGGAGCTCTGAGTTGTACAGGCTGTGCCACAGCTCCCTCACAGAGACAGGTTCCAGCCCAAGGGCTCCACACATGCCAGAAAAAACATTAAGGGTATCTGTGAATAACCTAAAAAAGTAAGGTAAAGTATATTAGGGATAAAGTTCAGAAACCAGAGCTAGTTAGAATAGATAACTAGCTATTATAATTATTGCTAGAACAGCTATATTGTAGCTATAACTAGCTAGAATAGCTAACTAGAATAGCTAATAGGGAATAAACAAGGTGCAATGAGGAGGAGGAGCAGCAGCTAAGATTACTGGCTCAACACATATGTGCCGTGAAAAACACCGAGACCGAGTCTGAAGGAGGTGTGGACAATTCCTGCTTTTAGAAGCAGCTTTGGAGGAGAAAATAAAGGTCTGTCTCTTCACCCACCCAGGGTAGATGCTTCAAAGGATGACTGGCTTTTGGGATAAAACTTCCTAGAATGTTCGGAATCCTGGCTGCTCCCCTGGCTATTTTGTACTTCAGAAACCGTATTTTCTGCAGCCATAAACACTAATGCAAGCACGTAGGAATGAAGGAAAACTTGGTCTTGCTGGTACAGATTCAATCTCCTCAACAGCTCTACTAAAAACTAAATAAGGTGGGGGTGTAGGCCTGTGGTTTGAGGACCAGTTGGAGAGAAGTCAAAGTGAAAAACCAAACATGAATGAAAACCATGAATGGAGGGAGATAAGGGAGCTGCCTTCAAGCTCAAGTCTTAACACCTGCAGCAGTGGCCTGAAAACACGCTAAACCACACAATCTGAAAATGTCAAGAGAGGTCACAGAAACAGCTCTGAGATCCAGAAACACGAGCTGAAAATGAAACGGGATTCAACCAGACAGGACATCAGAAATGGCAGACACAGAGACAGCACCTACAGACTGCAGGAAAAACACAGTTGTAGAGACACATCCTTTCTACCTCCACTAGCAACTGTGCAAGTCCCTTTTGTGGTAACACGTGCAAGTGCAGCCCTGGGGGGTGGCAAAGTCCTCACCACGCAGGATGGGGCACTCTCTGTTCACATCACTGTGTTGCTCAACTCTGACTCTCAGGCAACATGTTCTACGCGTGTTTGGTGATACCACCTGAGCCACTTGTTTCTGTCCCGTGGTCTTGTGCCTTTCCAGGTGAAATGAAGTGTTTGAGTCAAAGAAGCAATGCTGTGCTGGCCACCCTTCTGGAATGCCCATGACCTGGAAGAGGGAATGTGCTTCAGGAAGGACAGGGAATGTGTGACTCCTTTGAGCAAGTCATTTTATACCTGTGAGAAATACCTGTTTGACTCAAGATGCTTCTGAGCTGGAAATAAGTCCAGGCTTGTACAATATTGAACTACTTGCACTTGTCCTTAGTTCCTTCCAATGAAACACATACTGCAGGGAACACAGGGAGCTGCAGCATCTTCTGAGTGTAACTGCTCCCCTTTTGTAACATCTGGCTGCTTTCAAAGCCCTCATCTTCCTCCAAACCCCCCACAGCCCTCAGCATTTTCCAGGTTAAAAGGAGAGTCACTCTGCTGGCTAAAGAGGAGCCTAAGAAAAGAAGCCTTAAAGGCAGAGCTGCCTGGCAGGACAATCTGTTGGAAGGAGCTGGGCTCGGCCAGGCTAACCCAGAGCCTTGCAGCAGATCTCACTGCAGGGCCCAGCAGTCACCACACCACGGGCCTGTTCCCATAGCTACACGGGAAGATAAATTGAGTTCAAGGGACCTCGTGTCGCTACATTATTTAACAAACAGCCAGACACGCTCGAGAGGAAAGCACAGGCAGGGACCCAGTTTAGCTGCTGCGTGGGCTGATCAGACCGATGGAAGCCAGGCTGCCTCACAGAGCCAAGGGGCCCAAATCCCAAACCATCAGCTGGGCACTGTGCCAGGCACAAGAAGACTCCAGTTTGGCCACAGAAGAGCCGTGATGGTCCTGCAAGGCCAGAGGAGGGTGAGGAGAACCCCCTGCCCCACCAGAATGATGACCTAGAGCACAGCTAAAGAAAGCAGAGGATACCTGACCCATTTGGAACACAATCCAAAGCCTGACTTCAGGAAGGGAAAGGCCAGACCGTCTGCAAGTCTGCGTTATGGCCCAGGATGGATTCCCAGAGTCCTCAGACAGGATGAGGAATGTGGGCACAAGGAAAAGCACAGAAAAAAGCAGGGTGTGGGGAAATCACAGGGATGCTGGGAGAGATGAGCAGGGTTGGAAGGTAAAGATGTTGATGGAGCTTGTTGGAAGTGCTGTGGAGAGCTTATGTTTGGAAAGAGTAGTTCAGCATGGCAGCGGTGAAGAGAAACAAGAGGGGTCCGAGCCAAGGCAGGGGAAAAAAAGTGCAACAGGAGGTTGTCTGGCCTCACCATCATGATGAGAGAAGCATCTTTTGAGAGTAACTGCCCTGAGCCAGCGAGGGGTGAGCAGGACTGTTCTTATCACACAACATTTTCAACACTGGTGTAACCCCGCGCCCTTCTCCTTCCCCAGGATCAGGCAAGGAGGAGCAGAAGGTCACCCAGATGGGGTGCAGGGGGCACAGAAAGAGAGAGATGCCAAGGTCCTGTTGTCAGGAGAGCAGAGCAGCCTCACTGCAGACCCTTCCCCGGCAGGCAGCAGGGACAACGCGGGACACAGCCAGGCCAGCAGTGCCACCGTGTGGGAGCGGGTCACCTCGTTATCTCAGGACACGGGCAGCAAGGGTTTCTCGAGGGGGAAAGAGCAGTTGGAAATACATGAACAAATAAAAAAAAAAAATAAATCCTGTCTCAAACTCCCCCTTCCCACCCCCCGAGCTTAATGAGAATGTGAGGCTTATCCAGAGAAATTCCCTGAGCCAGAAACGTTCTTCCTTGCTGGAAGATAAAAGGCTGTGTTGTCTCTCCGGTGCTTTTCAGTAATGCCCAGAAAATAACCCTCCATCATTTTAGCAGGCACTGAAGTGAGACTGACAGGCCTGTAATTACCAGGGTCTTCCTTCCTACCCTTCTTGAGAACTGGGACATTTGCCAGCTTCCAGTCATGTGGAACTCCAAACTCCCAGGACTTGAAAAATAATGGGAGAGAGGTCCCGTGATGACATCAGCCAGCTTTTTCAGTACCCTGGGATGAATCCCACCGTGCTCCGTTGATTCATGTGCATCCAGCTGGAGCAGCAAGTCTCAGGCAAGTTCAGGTTTGGCTGGGGGTTTATTTTCCCTCCAGTGATGGTTTTCCAACACAGAGCTCTGGGGGTCCCAGGGCCCATCCTTGGTGTTGAACACAGAGGCAAAGAAGGCATTAAACATCTCTGCTTTGTCTATGCCCCTGTTTGTGAGGTGACCCAACTTGTCAAGTGTGGGCTGATGTTATCTCTGATCCTTCTGCTGTGAACACGTTTTAAAAAGTCCTTTTTGCTGCCCTTCACTGGCCAGCTTAAATGCTAACTGAGCTTTGTCCACGGGAATTTTCTCCTTACAGTGATGAACAGCAGCTCTCTGGTCTTGGTGACACCTCCAGCACAGAAATACGGTGTCACCCATGTGTGCCAGCACAGACCACCCCTAACAGCTGCTTCCCAGGGAAGGGACCGCCACAGCCAGGAGCGGGAACAGCCTGCAGGAAAAGTTCCCCCTGGGCACCACCACCCGTTTCCCAACTGTGATGTCCTGAAGCGCGAGATAAAAATCCGGCATATACAGGTTTAAAATAGAAATGTAACTATTACTTTTCTGGCAGCCACAAGTACTGCACAGGTGTTTTCACTGAACTGCCCAACATATTCTTAGGTTTCCACCCTCAGACAATAGTGCAAAATTAAGAAATTATCTTTAAATAGAGGCAGTCCTGTATTAGTTCCCTCCTCTGTTGAAAACTGCCTTTATTATCTAGTTTCTAGGCTATAAAAACTTACTTATTAGCCTTAAGAGCCAAATGACTTCCTCTCTAGTTTATGATAAAGGCTATCTTATCTATCTTTGTGAAATGCTGAGCTTCAACACATAACCACAATCCAGCTGCATGAACCCGTTGCACCCTGGAATTTGTTGATGGGAGAAAAGCATTTCCCTTCAGTAACATCCACATATTTATTCTTAGTCCCAGCTCTACCCACTCTTTCTTTCTGCTAAGCATTTGAGCCGCAATTTTCAGTAAGGAAGTAAAGCTTTTTTATTCTCCAGCAGATCAGGAGCCCTCAACAAAAAAACCTGCATTTTATTAATACTTTTGCCATTGGACTGTAGTTCAACGAGCACGTTTAACTAACACCCATCCAACCCGCCAGGAAAGCTCTTAATTAAAACGGCCAGATTCCTCGAGATTCGAAGGCTTGTAATTTAGAGACATCGGGGAAAAAAAAATAAAAAAAAAAAAAATAGGTCAGGCGGCGAGCAAAGCAAGCGAAGCATGTTCTTAATTTAAATGCCCTGTTTTAAGGATTCCTGCCCTGACAGGAACGAGCCCCCCTCACGCGCGTCCCCGTCCCCACAGCAACGCCCCGCCCCCCGCCGTCCCACGAGCCAATCGGAGCCGCGGAACGGTGAGTGGCGGCAGGACGGACCAATAGCCGCTGAGGGCGGGAAAAGGCGCGGGGGCGGGCGGGGGCGCGCCGGGCGCGGTGACGCCATCGCGGCGCGCGGCGGGAGCGCGCCCGGAGCCCGCGGGTCGCTGTTTCCGTCTTTCCTCCCTTCCCTCTTTTTCCCTCTTTCCCTCGTTCCCTCTTTCCCCTCGTCCCGCTCTCCCGCCGCGCCATGAGCCAGTTCAACTTCGGCGGGGCCGCGCCGGGCGGCGCCTTCAGCCTGGGCGCGCCCAAAGCGGCCACCGCCGCCACCACCACGGCCGCGGGCGGGTTCTCCTTCTCCGCGCCCGCGCCCGCCGCCTCGGCCGGCTTCAGCTTCGGCAGCGCGGCCCCGGCGCCGGCCGGCGGCCAGCCCGCCGGGCTCTTCCCCTTCAGCAGGCCGGGCACCGCCACGCAGCCCGGCTTCAGCTTCGGCTCCAACACCGCCACTCCCGCCGCCACCGCCGCCCCCGCGGCCGCCACGTTCGCGCTGGGGTGAGACCGGGGGGATCGCCACGGGGGTGTCCTGCTCGGGGCTTCGGGAGGGCCTGGAGGGGGGTTGCGGAGGGAGCGAGCCCCTGGCTCTGGCGCCCGGGAATTCCCAGCGCCCTGTAGGGTGTTACTGGGAAGGTGCTCATCGTGCCCCGGGTCTCGTCCCCGCTGATGGTTCCAGGTGGGCACTGGGAATGAGCTGCTCCACGTTTCCCTCTGTGACTGGGGGAGAGACGCCCGGACGGAGAAATGATAAAGCCTTGCCCCCAAGCGTAAAAAGTCTTGTCCTTTCTGACCCAAATTTGGAGCGCCCAGAATGATTCCTGGGCCAGCTCGGACCGTTTTGTCCTTAGGAAGAGCTGTGAGGTCTGGAGTGGCCCTTCAGAACTACTGCTGTCTAAGCCTTGCCAGATGGGAGCAGTGGGAAGGGAGCTCAGATGGGGACGAGCAGTAGAAGTGAGCAGAAAAAACCCAGCCTGGTACAAAGGGAGAGAATGAGAGGTGCGAGAAGGAGCAAATTCTTCTTCTCTGTGGTGCCCAGGTGGATGGAGGTAATGAAGGGAGAGTCAGGCTAAAGAGCCCTAAGGGAGGATGGCTGGTGACAGGAATTGGGTACAGTCTCCTGTCAAAATGGGAACACAAACCTGGCCAGGTGTGCCCCTCTTTGGAAGGTGGTTTCTGCTGTTGGCAGGTGGTCTGTGAGAAAGGCGACTGAGTACTCGACGATGTGTGTCTCAAGCAGGTTGGCTTCTTTTCTTTCCCTCTCTAGGACAAGCACACCAAAAGTAAACTTTGGGAGCAGCACTGCAACTCAGGCTCCTGGAATCACAGGGGGCTTTGCATTTGGTGGCTCTGTGGCAACCAGCACACCCTCCAGTCAAGCAGCAGCCCCGTCTGGCTTTGCCTTTGGCTCTGCTGGCACCAGCAGCACCAGCACGGCTCAGACTGGGACGACAGGGTTCACCTTCTCCAGTGGCACCGCGGCCCCGGCGGGAACAGCCGGGTTTAACATCGGCACCGCGGCCCCGCAGGCCACGACCGCAGGGCTGACCTTCGGCACGAGCCCTGCAGCTGCTGCCACCACCACGGCCCCCCTGGCAGCCGCCCCCGCGGCAGCTGCCACCCCCTTCAGCCTCGGGGGGCAGCCCACAGGTGGGTGAGCACCGGGCTGGGGGCGGCAGCGGGGAGGGACAGGAGGTTCTGCAGCCTCCGGAACGGAGCTGGGGCTGCAGTCGGTGCTGTGCCTGGCAGGCCTGCCCGGGGTCTGCAGGGGTGGGCAGCAATGGCTCTTCAGCCTTTGGGTTGGGAGAGTGAGGCTGAATAATTCTGGCCGTGTGTGTAGAAGTGCCAGCTGCCCGGTGATTTGCTGGTGCACAAGGAAAGGGCTGGAAGTGGAGGGGAGCAGGTGATGCAGGATGAGTCTGGCTGGCAGTGCCAGACCGTGGGTCACCTCCCTAAGGGCAGGAACCTGTCCCTCCTGCAGAATCTGCCCAAAGCTCAGTGTCCTGTAGGAAAAAGTCCATCTTTTCCTTTTGCTTTTACTTGTTCCAGGTCTAACCTTTGGGTCACTGACTTCAACAGCAGCCACGAGTGCACCCACAGCAACACTGACCACAAGTACCACCCAGGCACCCACCCTGTCCTTTGGAACCAAGCTTGGAGGTAGGAGGTTGTTTTGGGAAATAATTCCTCAAGTCCTTCTGGGGACACTTGTCTACACTGGGTTCTGGGAAGGGGTTGTAGAAGCGTTTGTTGCTGTGAATTTGCTCTGGCAGTGGAGATCCCTGACAGCTCACAGAGCCATTGGATGTGGTGTCCTGTGTTTTGGATTGCATCCCACGTGCCACGTTCTGTTCTGTACTTGTGGGAGCGCAGTGGGAGGGAGCCACAGGCATAAGGGGTTCCTTGGGAAAGAGGAGAGGGTGTCAAGGGAGAATAAGAGGAAAAGCCGGGAAAATCCTGACATACCCAAGAACCTGGTGTAGCCGGGCAGTTTGTGTCGCCTTCTCAGCAGGATTGTCCTGCAGGGGGTGGGAGCTCCGTGTGCTCTGCTTGTCCAAGACGGAGCTTTTTCTCTTGGCAGGAACATCCACAGCTGCTACAACGCCCTCCACCAGCACAACCTCCGGGCTGGCTCCGACGGGGCCCACGTTGTTCGCGTCTGTCGCGACTTCTTCGGCCGCAACGTCGTCCACCACCACCACGGGCCTCTCACGTGAGTCACTCCAGAGAGGCTTTATCCAGATTTTATCCCCCTGGGGGGAATAAATGAGCAGAGCAGGGCTGCTGGTGCCTGTGGGCGGTGGAGCTCTGCTGCTGCTGCTGCTGGGGTGAGCAGGCAGGGCAGAGCTTTTCAAACCTCTTAATGTTGTTTTCTGTTTACAGTTGGTGGCATTTCCACTGGTTCCACTGGGACTGCTGGTCTGGGGACACTAGGGTTTGGATTAAAAGCTCCTGGAACAACAACTGCCACAACAAGCACTGCCACTGGTAGGAACAAGATGCTGAAAGTAGCTGAAAAGAAGAAAGAGTAGCAGCAGAGCAGTTCTGAGCTGTAAAGCCCTCCAGTAACTAACTGAAAAGAGCAGTCCTTCTTTCTTTGATCCTCCTATTCCATCTCAATTTAGAAACGTAGAAATCTCATCTGCACAGGTGCAGGAGTGTGACTGGGTGTGCTGGTAGTTATTAGGTCTGATAGTAGAGCATGAGGAGATTGAGAGGGGTGTGGGTGAGCGATGTTTTCATTCCCTTCTTGACAGATGGGGGGTTTGCTTTTTTTTTTTTTTTTTTGTTTTGTTTTGTTTTGTTTTGTTTTGTTTCCAGAGGGGCCTATTGGAGCTGCTGCAGTTTGTTACCTACCAGATGTGTCCTCTTCTGTTGCTTGACTTGAATCTCTTTTTCCAGGTACCACTACTGCTTCTGGCTTTCCTTTGAATCTGAAGCCACTGACTACAACTGGTGCCATTGGGGCTGTGACCTCCACAGCTACCACAACCACCACGACCAGGTGAGTGTTTTGTTACCTCTATTTCCTGACTGGGGCAAGAGCTGCCGCAGTGCTGGTGGAGGGTTGTGATGGAGGAAGGGGGGAAGGAGTTTTGTCGTGTTTCTCTTTTCTTTTCTGACCCTGTGTTCTGTCCCGCCCCTCCCTCCCTCTAAGCACACCTCCAGTGATGACTTACGCCCAGCTGGAGAGTCTGATAAACAAGTGGAGCCTGGAACTGGAAGACCAAGAGAAACACTTTCTCCATCAAGCGACGCAAGTGAATGCCTGGGATCGGATGCTGATAGAGAATGGAGAGAAGGTGAGGACATGGCCAGTGTAACCTGATTTTGCCTGCTTAGATCCTGAAAGGCCTTCAGTGTTACAGATGTGACAAACCAGTGCATGGCACTTTCGACTTGTGAAAAAAAATAGATGTGAATTCTGTCTGCGTGTTTTTCACAAATCTCTGTGTGTTCTATTCTTGAGGCATTGGAGCTTGGAAATCTGTTCTGTGACTTTGCTCTGTGATGACAAGTTCTTTTAGGGGGAGCATTCAAAGCTGAACCTCCCTTAGTCCATCTTTGGTCTGTAAATCTGTACGTAACTGTCTCGTGTGTGGTGCTGCTTTCTCGCTCCCACTCCTCCTCTTTGGGGAGTTGTCTTTTGAGTTTACAAGGTCTAATGAAGTGTCTTCTATTTCCAGATTACTTCATTACACAGAGAAGTAGAGAAGGTGAAGGTTGATCAGAAGAGGTAGGAAACTTCAAACACCTGAGATGATTTTTGGGGGTTTTTGTCTTATGTGGTTGTATGGCAGCTCTAGAGTGTTTATAACCTGTAAGGCTTTATTAAAATGGGCATTTCCTCTTTTCAGACTGGATCAGGAGCTCGACTTCATTCTGTCACAGCAGAAGGAGCTTGAGGACTTGTTGACTCCTCTAGAGGAGTCCGTGAAGGAGCAGAGCGGGACCATCTACCTGCAGCACGCGGATGAGGAGCGGGAGAGGACGTAAGGCAGACACCTGCTTGGGATGTGTGTGAGCAGACTCCCGGGGTGATGACCAGCCAGCGGGAAGTGGAGTTGGGATGCAGGACAGTACTGAACCATCCGTGGCTGCTGTCAGATATTTAACCCTGTTTTGTGCATGGCAACTCTAGATTTTACTCATTAGAAATGGGAATTGGGAGTGGGAGCCCTCGAGTCAGCATGAAAAGCTCTTTGCATGTTGGTCTAATCAGCTCTCTGGGAAGAGTTTACTAATTTTTGCATAATTTATGGAAATTAATGATTCTTTAGTGATAGAAATGATGAGAACAGAACACACTGGGTGTGGCACTGGCATCCTCATAAAGCTTTGTGATGCATCATAGCAGAGTAGTTAAAGGCACTGTTTGTCTGGCTCAGGAGAGAATGAATCTGGAAGAATGCAGGCTTATTGCTTCCTTCAGTTCTGACAAAACCTTCCAGGAAGCCCTTCACACTATTTATTGCTTGTCTGTCTCCATGGATCTATTGAGAGTTGGTTTAGGAGTCTCTTCCTGCATGTGATGGAGCCTCTCAGGGTGCTGCTCCCACGTCTCTGCCAGCCTGGGCTGCAAGACATGGAGGCTAACTGTGATTGCCCGAAGCTGGTGTGACTGGGAGCAGGTCAGTTGAAACGTTCTGATCTTGGTTCCCTGGTGTTCTGCAGCTACAAGCTGGCTGAGAACATCGATGCTCAGCTGAAGCGCATGGCACAAGACCTGAAGGACATCACTGAGCACTTGAACACATCAAGAGGCCCAGCAGACACGAGCGACCCGGTAAATGCAAGCTTTTTCTCTTTCCTTTGGCAAAGGATATTTAAATACCCTGCACTTCTGTTGGCAGTTTTCAAAGTATCTCATTCTGGTATGAACTCTGGTTGTTTGCTTGTTGATTAATTTCTGCCTGAACCATGCTGTGTTTCAGAGGTGTTTAACAATGGCTCCACCATTTGCATCTGTCCTGTGGCAAATCTAAATTTTGTTCAGAATGCCCCCCCATAGATGTTGATACATTTTCCTTATACTATTTTTATATCCTCATGAAAACAAGATCTGAATAACCAGCTCTTTCTGATAGGTATTAAATTGATCTTGATACTCCTTATGGCTTTACTGAGCAGCTTATTTTTCAGTAAAAATTTCCCTTCACTATTGTAGACTGAGTTTTCCACATTTATTTTTTGTTTTGCCAGCAGAATCCTAGGGTGATGAATGTTCTGAGGGTTCCTAGGTCTAAATTAGAATAAGGCACAGACATATAATCTAGTTTTCCTAATGGTAAAGAGAAGGAAAACAGCAGGGTTGCTGCACAGAAAGTGGGAAAGTGGCTGCTCAGCTGGGGGAGCTGAACAGTGAGAAACTTGACTGCAACCTGTTCCCAAGCAAAGGACAGGCAGGCTCTCTCTTACTCCTCTTAGTGTTTATGTAGTGCAACAACTGACTTGCACCTTCCCTTTCTGCTCAGCTTCAGCAGATCTGTAAAATTTTGAATGCACACATGGATTCCCTGCAGTGGATTGACCAGAACTCAGGTGAGAGTCGTCTTGCAGCCTTTTGGGGATGTCAATGGAAAGCAGGGAGCATGTGTGGGAGTCACTGAATTGCTAAAGATCCGTGAGGAATCTTTTCCTCCTCACCTTCAATGTCACTGTCCCTCCTGTGCTTGACTTCTCCTGATGTGCCTGATTAGGGGCCTCTGCTGAGAAGTAGTTCCTGGCAGCTGCTAACATTTTACCCAAAAAAGCCCTGCTTGAATGTTTTTCTTTGCCCTTCTGCGGGCACAAGTGTGCAGGGTTGTGTTGTGGGGTGACTGTGAGATTAACCCCTTGTTTCTCCCCCAGCTGTGCTGCAGAGGAAGGTGGAAGAGGTGACAAAGGTTTGCGAGAGCCGCCGCAAGGAGCAGGAGCGCAGCTTCCGCATCACCTTTGACTGAAGGACTCCCAAGTTTACCAAGTCTAAAGGATTAACATAAAGCCTCCCCAGAAAACAGAGGTGTTGGGGAACTGAGGTCTGAAGTGGTGACCTGGCTTTTTTTCTTTTCTTGCAATAAAATGTGGTGTTTGTTCCAAAGGCAGTCTGTGTGGTGTTGGAGGGGAGTCCCCACAAGTGCTTTTCACAGAAAAAGCACTGAAACAGGGCAGCAGATAAATCACAGTGTCTGCCATTAATGCTCTGTGGGGGCTTTAGGGACATCCACATCGAGGAGCCAAGGTGTATTTCCCATCAAAAGCACCCCTGTAATTACCCACCTGTGCAGCCACAGTACCTGGAAGAAAAGGGACAGACTTTTTTCTTGTCCTGCCACCAGAGCCAGGGCAGCAGCCCCTCAGTCAGGTGCTGCAGCTCAAAGCAGAGGCCAGGACTGAGCTGTGGACACAGCCCTGCAGCAGCAGAGAGCAGTACACTTGGAGAAGAACACTTCTGGAGCACAAATGTGAATAAGCACACACTATGGAAATACCATAATAAGTGCATTTATTTACATGGCCTCCTCCCTCCCTCCCTGCCTCAGAAAGCTGAGAAGGCAAACACACCTGTGGAACAGGAGGAAAATGCCAGTCCACCCCAACAGTGGAAAGGCAGTGCCCATCTCTCTCCCTTCCCAACCCTAAGATGAATGGACCTGCACATTAACTGCCAGCAGTCCTTCATTGTCCCAGGGACAACCAAGGAGTTCCCACTGAACTCCACAAGGCTCCTGGTTACCCATCCTCACGTGGCAGGGGTGTTCTCTGCAGCAGAGGAGCTGGGGCTGGCAGAGTCAGTCTCTGGCAAATGCTTCTTGCTTTTCCCAAATTCAATCACCAGTGGCTTGCCCTGCAGCTTGTACCCGTTCAGCAGCTGCAGGGCACTCTGGGCAGACTCAGTATCTGCAACAAGAGAGAGCACAGGGGGCACAGGTCACCCAGCACGTGCTGGCACAGCATCATTTCTGCTCTGATAAATCCTCTTCCAACCCAGGGAAAAGACTGTGATGTGACAGGAAGAGGAGGGAGTGAATTCCCCTTCTCCTCCTTGGAGAGCAGGCTTGGCAACAGCCCAGTGCCCTGCGGGAAGACGTGGCACCTTTGAGGGGTCAGGGAAGAAGTGGGAGGCACAAGGGAAGCAACACAGCAACTCACCAGGGAAGGTGATGAAGGCCTGATCCCTCATCCGCCCGCTGAGGAGGCGGAACTGGAGCAGGGGGCTGTCCTCCTTCTGGAACCGGGCAAACAAGGACACCAGGTCCTTCATCGTCACCCGAGGGCCCAGGTTCTTCAAATACAGCACCTGACCCAGGGACACAGAGGGTCAGCCGGCCCTTGCCATGCACAGACACCTTTCAGCCTGGTCCCAAGTCCAGACAGATGAAGGGTGTGAATCATTTCAGCCCCTCTGCCACCCCAGAGCCCCTCACACCCACATGCTAATGATGATGTTTGGAAGATGGGTGGGTGCACAGAGAAAGGCAGCTCTGAGCTCAAGGCACCCCAGTGCTTACCTGCACCGAGTGCTGAGAGTTTCAGTTACTTTTAAAATGCAGCAAGCTTCAGATAACCATTAATCATAGCTGGTCTCAGCCAGGTCCAAAAAGAGAGAGCAGATCTTAACTGGTGACTTGCTGGGCTCAGAAGCACAGCCCTTTGCCAGGCCTGTGACTTCCCACTACAGCCCAAGGTTCCCTTCCCTCCCAGAGTGGAGGCTTCTCTCCCTTGGTCTGGAGAATCAGCCAAGCAACCTCCAGGCAACAGCAGAGGAGCCTTCTCCTGCTGACACAGCTCCAGGGCATGCTAGTGAGGCAGAACAAATCCTGGCTCATCTCAGCTTACCTTGCTGGGCTCCCCTGGATGGTAGGACGAGAACCTGGGTATTTTCCGGAGTTCTTCCTCTGAGAGGCGGTTCTTGAGGATCTCCTCTTCTGGCACAAACTCTACAGGATCCTTGATAACCACTGGGCTTGGAGAGGACTGGTGGGGCTTTGTTGCAGGAACGCTGGGACTTGCTGCCTGTTCTGCTTGTTCTTCCTGGTCAGGAGGTGATGAGTCCTCAGTCACGGCCAGGGAAGGGCACAAGCAGGGGTCACTCTTAGCAGGCTGGACTTTTTCAGGGCCCTTCTTGCTCAGCAGCTCTTGGTAAACACTCTCCAGATGAACCATGGGGTCCTTTCCATCTGTTCCCTTCTTCTGAGTGTCATCTAATTCATAACAGAGAAACACGGTAACGTGACTACCACCAAGAACTTGGGAAACACTCAGACTGCAGGAAGAGACACGGAGACATGGACACAATACAGGGAATCCACAACTGGACCCAATTCCACTTCAGAGAGGAACCTTTAAGTCATTCCTACTCTCACCTGCTCTGTGCCTTTGCTTCCTTCTCCCCCTAGTTAGACTGCAGTTTTCCTCAGTGGAGGAACAACCTCTAAGTCCTACACAGGCATTTGTATAACTCAGATCTTCAGGCTCTACCAAAGCACAACTCCAGGCCCTCTTCCACACCCCGAGCTGGGCTCTGCAGTACGTGCAGCACATCAAGGAGACCCATGCTCTCCAAAAAGATGCATTTTACAAGGGTCTATGTTAAACCCTTCAGAGAACCACTCTCTCTCTGCTCCTGTAAGAGAGGAAAATATCCCCTCCCACACAGGACCAAAACAGAACCACATCTTCAGGGACAGAAGGCCGGACAGAGACGTGTTGGACTCCCACACAGCCTGGCTCTCCACGCTGGAGCCAACGCAGGAAGAGCCCTGAGCCCCCCCACACCTTCGTGGTAGAGCGCCCGGAGGAAGGAGTGGCGGTCTGTTCCCTGGAAAAGGGCATTCTCAATCTCCATCTCCCTGCGGCTCAGCTGCTTGCTGCCAGCAAACCTCTGGGGCAGAGCCAGGATGCGCTGCCGCTCCTCCATCTTCTCCTGGATGGCGTGGAGCCGGTCCTGCGTGGCCTCCGGGGCCGCCCCCAGCCCAGAGCCCTGGAAGACAAGCACAGCTTTGCTCAGGAACTGGCCTCCAAGCCACACTTCCCATCCCCCAGCCCTGCGCTGGGTGCCACCAGGAACCACCCCCAGAGAGCAGGGCACCAACAGGTCCTGTTGCTGCAGCCACTCAGCCAGCTCAGCTCTTGAGAGAAGTGGAGAAACAGCCCCTTCCCCCTGACCTCTCTGTGCTGCTTTCCTTTCCCTGGTCTGACTCCCTCTGTCCCTGCAGCCCTTGCCTCTGACAGCTCCAGCCATTTTCCAGGGCCACCTTCACTCCACAAACCCCTTTGGCAATTCTTTCCCCATTCCTGTAGCGCTCCCCAACTCAGGTTTCCACCCAGCTTTTATTCTGTGACCTTTTATTCTACAACCTCCTCACTCAGAGAACATTATTAGCTGAAAAGTGGACCCCAAGCTGCCATCTGGCACCTGAGGGTAGATTTGTGCTGAGGACTAAGCCCTGACCAGCATCACTCGAACCAGCTTAAAGGAACCACACAGGGAGTGCAGCACAGACCTCACCTGGCTGCACATGAGCATCCCTGGATAAATAAACCTTCACTGCACAGGGCCAGGCCGAAAGCACAGCTGCTGAAAGAGCATTTCTGTTCCTCCACCCACCTCGATCAGAACCCAGGGAACACGCTTTTATGGGATGGATTTTCTTTACTCAAATTCAGTTTGAGAATCACTGTGGCAGATCCTTCTGCCTCAGGCAAGGAACCAGGCTTTCTCCCTGCACTGAGCACAGCCTCACAAAGACTTTCCCATGGTACCTCTGCCCCACATCTGCATGGCTTCCATTCACCATTTCACAGCTTCCCTGAGGCACAAAAGGCTGTTTATGTGGAAAAGCAACTCCCGGAAATCATTTGTCGTACTTTGTTTTCAAAAAAGCTGCCACTTAGCAGCTGAAAATAACATAAAATCTGCACTCAGTACTTTGCCAAGAGCTCCCCGGGCAATCTGAAGTTCTCTCTGTCTCAGCTGACATTCCTCATCACTCCGGTTGGAATCTTTCATTCAGGAAAGATGTACATCCTCCATGTACAAAGCTGCACATCATCACCTGACTTGGGCTTTCTCTCTCTCCCAATATTCTTTTTCTCTCACAAGAGAAAAACATACCCTAATGTCACTGGTTCCCCTGTCAGGGAGAGCAGAGCATGCCCACCTTCCTTGTTGAAGTCCGGTTCTTCCAGAGCAGAATCTCCGAGTCGGAGAGCCCCAGCTCCCGCAGAGAGGAAGTTTCTTTGTTGCTCTCCTCCAGGGCCTGGAACTGTGACAAGGTCAAAGCCCCCGCCGCCTCCTCCCCAAAAGGCTTGTAAAAAGCTGCGGGGGCAAAGCATCTTCGCTTTGACTTGCACCTGTGACCCAAAGCAAGACAACAGCACACACAGCTTAGCACTGACCAGCTGGGGGGACGGGAAGGGGCTGGACTCCCTCCCCAGACACACCAGGACTTACTGCTCGATGGAGACACTGGTATCAAGCTGCTGGTGAAGGAGGCTCTTCAGCTGCCTCTCCCCTTCTGTCTCCAAGTCTTCCAGGAGAAGCTCATCACTGGACAGGCTGCTGTTGACCCTGGGGCACACAAGCCCAGCATAAAGGTGGTCAGCAAGGCAACAGGGAAAACACTGCCCAAGGCACATCCCACCCTACAACCTCTATGCCTCTTTGGCTGTTTTAATGGGAATTAAAGCACGACACGGAGCCAAAACTACTTGACCAAAGCTCCCACTAATGGTACTTGAAAAGCCGACAGACTGGGGACTACTCCGACAACATTAAAGTACCCCGGGGACTCTTGGGGTGTTTTTATTTTGGTAGAAGATATTATTATTATTATTATTATTATTATTATTATTATTATTATTATTATTATTATTATTATTATTATTATTATTGGGGGGGGGGTGTCTTGTTTTCTTCCTTTAAGTCACATGCAATAATTTTTATCGCCGGACCACTGCTTCGCATCACTGCCTAAACACGCACTGCCACTTCCAAAAGAGCCGCGAAAAGCAAGAAAACCTCGAGGCCGAAGGGAAGCTCTGAATTCCAGCAGCACTCCCTGGAAAGAAAGCTCAAGCTCCCTCTTCCCTCCCCACCTGCTCCCACTCTGGCAGAGCCCGCATCCCCCCCGCCTGTGACAGCGGGGCCGTGCCGGGATAGTCCCCCCCCCAAACCGGGGCAGCTCCAGGCGCGGGGCCGAGGCCGGACGGGCGGTTTGGGACCCCGAAGGGGCAGTGTGGGACCCGGGGACCCCCCCTCACCTGCGCATGGCCCCGGTGATCCTCCCGATCCCGCCGATTCCACCGATCCCGGGACTCCAAGCCCCGGCAGCGCCCGCGGCCGCGCGCGGAGCGCCGGGAGCCGCGGCCCGGAAAGGATCGGAGAGCTTTTATTTCCCGGAGAAATACAAACTTTACCCCGCCGTGCCCCAGTAAAGGAACGGCGTGACTTCAGAGCGGCCCCAGAGGAGTTGGGGAAGGGGTGTGACAAAGGGGGACGGAGCTCGGTGTGCCCCGGACAAGATAAAGAACGAACGCGACAGTTTTTGATGGTGACGCTGTCCCTGCTCCAGAACTGACGTCAAAGACGGCGAAGAAGACCCGGAAGGACCGAAAAAAAAAGGACTTCGAATAAGGGCGCGGCTTCCTAAACCAAACTCATGACTGTGTATTAGGTAAGCGAGAATACCTGATGAACAGGTAAACTGTATGTGTAATAAAAAGCCCCGTCTGTCATCGGGCATCTTCGGTTAGAGGAGCCATCGTCCGAACCTCCAGCCTGCTGAGTGAAGAATGCCCTCCTTCAACACCTACAAATCGGTGTTCAGGATTCTGTTCCTGAACAAACGCTTTTCCCACTGAAAAGCAGAGCCTTCCCCTCCTGCAGGGACACGCTGTTAGACAGGGCAGCTGTGGGGCAGCACAGGAGGGGAAGTGGAACATTTGCACCCCTGCGGGATTTTGCACGACAGCTGGAAGTGCAAAGAATCGAGCAGCAGGGCAGCTGTGCTAAATACGCGACCGTTCACCCCCCCCCCTCGATTGGTAAAGAGAGTTTGGGATGGGCATTGCAGTCACACTTGTGGTCCCTCTGCATGGTGTCCTTTCCCTCCAGCATAATTTTCAGTTGCACAGAAATTCTGCTTACAGGCGCCAGTGCAAAAGCAGTTTGTTGCCCAAAAGCACAGAAAACAAGGCCCACTCTCAGATACCTAATTTAAACACCAACTCCAGCGTGCCAGCTGAGGGATTACAGTCTCTTAGACTGCTGCAGCAACTCTGAGGACACTCATCAGCCAACCTGAAAGAAAGCTGATCACGTCCCAGTTGAATATGTCCAAGTTACATTTAAGTGCTGGAGAGCTCGGCCAGGGAGGCACAGCCTGCCCAGAGCCCTCCCAGGCAGCATCTGTGTATCCCACCAGCCTGCAGGCAGCGCTGAAGGACAAAGAGCCCGCACTTCCTGCACAACCTTCACACAGTTTCTCAGACTGGGGTCAGTGAACTCCCCTCCAACACCACAAAGACTGCCTTTGGAACAAACAACGCATTTTATTGCAAGAAAAGAAAAAAAGCCAGGTCACCACTTCAGACCTCAGTTCCCCAACACCTCTGTTTTCTGGGGAGGCTTTACATTAATCCTTTAGACTTGGTAAACTTGGGAGTCCTCCAGTCAAAGGTGATGTGAAAACTGCGCTCCTGCTCCTTGCGGCGGCTCTCGCAAACCTTTGTCACCTCTTCCACCTTCCTCTGCAGCACAGCTGGGGGACAAACAAGGGGTTAATCTCACAGTCACCCCAGAACACAACCCTGCACACTTGTGCCCGCAGAAGGGCAAAGAAAAACATTTTCAAGTTGACAGTCACTCGTATTTGATGACGGGGCACAAAACAGAAGGAAAACCCAACACAAAGCACTGCCAACCAAAGAGGGACCAGAAAGTGTCCTGAGGCATTCAGGGACTGGCACAGAGAGTCGTGAGAGTCCTGGGATGTGCTGCTGACACTTTTGCCATTCCAGTTTGTGCTTAGAACAGACCTATTTTTCACACAGCCAGAGCTTTACCTGTACAAACAGAGCAGACAGAGCAATCAGCAGAGAAGAGCTGCAGAGCACCTGCAGCCACAACACAGACAATCTGATATTTGCAGATCACTGGTTTGGAAATACATAAGCCACTCCACTAGTTGATTATCAACGTGAAACGCAGCAGGCACAGCCACCTACACAAACTCTGGGCACAGGCTAAAGCAATTTCTAATGTATTCCATGAGAGCTTATCAGAAGCTACAGCACCATGCCAGCCTGTGGCTCGTGCAGATATTCCAGGTTACTTTTACCTTGAACAGCACACCAAGCCCAGAGAGAGAGATACACCTTAAGCCTTCTTTAAAAACTGCAGTTTCTTAAGCTTACTTCTCCTGTCTTGTTTGAAGGTGAACTGAAGCTGAACTGTTTCTTTGGATGTACATTTCTCAGCAAAGAGAATGATTCATTATTAACCAGTAAGATGACTCCTTCAGTAGTGAAGGAAGACAGAGGGAAAAATGGGTCTCTTTTCTAGAAAACTTTAAAGGAAACAGATGGCTATTTTCACACACACGTTCTGTATAGTCAGAATTATGATGGCACAGAAGTTGTGCCAGATTTCCTGAAAAAGGCATATTTGGAAAGCAGAACTTCGCATATATGTTCTGAAAGAAAAAAAGCCAAATTAAATGCTGCCCTAAGCCCATATTTCTGTCAGAACATGGACAGGAACTGGCCTGCGTTCACACAAGTTATACCACTGTGAGCACTTCACAGCACAGCAGCCAGACAGTGCAATTTGGGGCTGGTGAGAGGAGTGATGCTTTATTCTGCCATGCCCCCGTGTGGCTGCTAACAGCACAACTGTGCAGAATTCTGGAACCCCTCACCAGAAGGCACTCCCTGGCTGTAAAGTTCCTTTTTTCCATTTGGTTTTAGGATGACAGTAGTGAAAGTTGAATTCCAAACCAGAAACAACAGTCACTGCACTATCAAGCGTTCACTCCTGAGTGCATCTCCTGCTCTGCCCTCCAACTCAAGTTATGGATGCTGTGAACTTCCCGCGTCCTCCAGAGTCACCACACCTGCAGATCAATGCAGGCTGCTCAGTCGAGGCCCGCGGTGCCGATGTTAAACCCGGCTGTTCCCGCCGGGGCCGCGGTGCCACTGGAGAAGGTGAACCCTCCACGGCGGACGCGCCGGCGGCTCTGGCCCCGCCCCCGCTCACGCTCTCGGCGGTTATTGGTGCATCTCGCTGCCACTCACGGTCCCGCGGCTCCGATTGGCTCAGCGGGCGGCGCGGGGCGGGGCGTTGCTATGGGGACGGGGACGCGGTGCGGTGGCGGAGCTGAGGGGCCGGGATTGCGGGACGGCGGGGCCGCGGTGACAGCGGGTTTCTCTGGAGCTGTGGGGCCGCGGTGACAGCGGGCTTCCCTGGGGCTGTGGGGCCGCGGTGACAGCGGGCTTCCCTGGGGCTGTGGGGCCGCGGTGACAGCGGGCTTCCCTGGGGCTGTGGGTTCCCTCGCCCTCCGCCGGGACTACAGCTGGGTCAGTGGGAAGCCTGGCGAGTGGGCAGAGATCTTGCGGGGAGTTTTGCCGGGTTACGTGTGACGCGGGGTCTGCTGTCAGGCCGGAGCTGCGCTGGCAACCAGCGCCAGAGGGGCAGAAGAGTCCGTGCGGTGCGCACGGGGGGACACACATCCAGCTGGTTGTTGTTTCCTCGGGTTCACTGAACCCCAAGGAACGGCATGAAGCTGCATCAGGGGAGGTTTGGGTTGGGTCTCTTCCCCCAGAGGGTGGTTGGGCACTGAACAGGCTCCACAGGGCAGTGGGCACAGCACCAAGCCTGACAGAGCTCAGAAAGTGTTTGGACATCACTCTCAGGTGCATGGTGGGAGTCTTGGGGTGTCCTGCGCAGGGCCAGGGCTTGGACTCAATGATCCTCGTGGGTCCCTTCCAACTCAACCTATTCTCTGATTCTGTGTTCCATTGTACGTGTTTTGTGCAACAATTTGACTGAACTTATCCTTCCAGAACACACAGCCGAGAAAATGTGCTTTACAGACTGTTCAAAACACACCTGGTTCTTTCTTCACCTGTCACTTGTTTTTTTCCTGCATAGGTGAGCAGTGGGTATGGATATGGACAGTTTTTCCTCAGGCTCTTCCCTGCAGTGCCTTGCCAAATTACTACAGGATGCTCAAGAAGAGGATGATGATGATGATGTGGTGAGTCTTTCATAAGAATTGCTGCTTCTTTTACATCCTGTAGCATAGCCTAACCTTGTTAACCAAGGAGAAGCAAATCTCTCCTTCCTCAGAGTGAGTAAAAAGAGAATGAAAACCTTAGAAGGTTTTGGACTGACTGGAACAGCTGGAAGATACTTCTCAAGTAACAAGCTCTTGAGGGAAAGAATAAAGAAGATGCCCCAGGAAAAGAAGGACAGATTGTGAGCACGAAATATGAGGGAGGTTTAATTTTTCAGCCTGAAGGAAATGAGAACATGTAGCTGAAAGAGCTTGAGATACTTTAGACTTCCCCCTACTTCTCCCTGGAGTCTGCTGGAGATGAAGGCAATTGCAGCTAAATACTTCATATGACAGGACATAAGTTGCTGCTCAACTTCCGAGTAAAGAAATACTCTCAGGAGCCCCACAGTTGCCAAAAATGTAGAAGGCCTCTGTGAAGGCTCAAAACTTTGCCGAGTTTCTTGGAATTTTGAACAAATCATGTTCTGACGTGGATGACAAAAATGGCAAATGCCTCAGTGTTCCTCCACATCACTCCTCAACCAAGAGTCAGCTGGCTGACCCCGAGTTGTGCCCCAGGAGTGGCAATGGGAGTAATATTTGGGATAAAAGGGGTGCGTGTCCCTTGGCATTTCCTATCAGGAGGGCATAGATGTTGTCCTTCACACTCCAACTACCCTCCAGCTGTTTAATGCCTGCCTTTCAAAACTACCATATCGCTGTACATCTCTGCAGTAAACATCCTGATTCTAAAAGAATTTGTTTACATCTTATTAATAAAATGAATGGCACTTCAGAGACAGAAATGGAAAACTGCCATGAGGGATGTCAATTAAGTCTGAGTCAATCTGGGTAAATTGAAATCTTTATTTTGATTTAATTTAATGCTCTGTGCATATGAGGCACTTTTATCTAACCAAGGAATCTTCATATAGAGAGAAATGCCTCACATTGGCCTATTAGCACTAAATTGATTCATAATTAGAGGAAAATGTTGTTGCCTTATATGATCTCTACTGCCAAAAGTAATCCAAATGCTGTGATGGGGTTTTCATGTAGAACCCTTGCTTTCCTGTAATATTTTCATGGCAGGCAAAGCTTGAAGATTTTGCCAGAATGCCATGGAAACTAAAACTCAAAAAGCACATCTGTCTGTGTTCCTGGGCTTCTGGAGTCCTGCTTAAGCCCAGTGTGTCAAGGTCACTTTCTGCTGTGGGAGAGAGAAGAACAAAATATTCAGCGGTTCTGTCATGAAACTGTGGGATAATGTTTTGTGGATTCTAGCAGGGATTTGTTTGACCTCAAATATAGATAGCATTTTATATTTACTGACATTATGGTTGTAACTGAGCTTGGCTCCATCAGAAGTGGTTGATCCATTTGCCTTTTTTTGCAGTCATGCTGCAGTTCTGTTGGTGCCCTGACTCCTGGGACTATTGGACCAGCAAAGAAGGAGACCACTGGTAAGGAGGAGTGTTTGTGTGTTTTCACATTCAGTCCCATGTCAGCAGACTTTAACAGCTGTAGTAAGTTACTAATGAAGGGTTTGCTTCAGTAAAAGAGTGGTCATCAACCTTTGAGATGGACTTTGCATCACATTTTTACAACTACACTCTAAAATTATTCTCTTGCTGAAAGCTTAACTGTAAAACATGCAAAGAGAAGCAGAAAGGGTGACACCAGTGGAGCTGACAATAGTACAGAGCACAGCCTGGTCAGGGGCTGCTGGGATCATGACTGAGCAGCAAAAGCTCCACAGAAGTATTCTCATGGAATTGTTCATGCTCACTTAGAACCAGCAAGGAAGATGGACTTCTGAGTACTCACCTGCAAGAGTCTCCATGGAGTAAACTGTGTGGAACTGAGCTTAAGCCTACGAGGAGGAAGAGCTCTGAATTTTGCTGTGAAAGCAGTCATATCATATTCCCTCCCCACAAAGTTTCCCAAACCTATTCAGGCCATGTGCAGGGAGAAGCAGAAGCTTTGTTCAGCACTGCCCTCCCAGACTGAGAGACATGGTGCAGTTATTCTCCTTCCTACACCTGTTCCTCTGCCTGAAAGCCCCAGACAATTACAATCTCTACCTGACTGTCTCAGACAGTGAGAACAAATATCTCGAGGGTTCCTCCATTTCTGCCAACACCTTGGATTGTACTCAGGAAAGAAAGGAAGACAGTTTTGGCAAAGTCTTGTCAAAGTTATTGCAAAGCTTTTCCCAAAGTTAATGCTTGGGCAGCTTTGTTATGGGCCCTAAGAAAGGCCAACAGGGAGCAGGATGAATGTAGCAGGAAAGGAACTGTGGCAAAAATAACAGATTTTTTTTTGCTTGAGTTTCCAACAACAACCAGAGATTCTCTTCTAAAAATTTACCAGCTTACTAGAAAAAATATGTTTCCACACAGGACAGGCACAAACTGTAGTATTCTGCCCATAAACTTTCTAAAACACTTTAATTAATGGGAAGAACTGGATTTCTGTGTGAGGAGGAGGTCCTCTTGTGAATCTCTGCTCTCTGGAAAAATCTGATATCAGGGGGCTTGGGGGAGATTAGTATTTTGTCCTTTTACACCTTACCCATTTTGAAGCATTTGCTATTTTATGCCTGAAAGGAGGATTTCTTGGACATAGTTGAGTAAAGGATATTTAAGTGAAAGGAAAACATCCTCCCTCTGCAAATCCTCATTCATAAGATACTGAGGTAAAGGAGACTGTAATTACCTAGAATGATTTTAATGCAAAGATTTTTCTAAAACCCAGAAATATTTTTTCCTAGGCTTTAGAAATGACTTTTCTTTTTTTTTTTTTTTAATTCTAGAACAATATTCTAAGTTTTCAACAAACCTAGAGGAACAGAGACATTTCAAAAGATGACAGTGGGATTTTTTCCTCATCCCTTACAGGTACTTTTCAAGTGAAATCTGAAAACAGGAAAACTATTTGGAATACGGAGGAGGTCCCAGAAGGATCTGAGTTTGATGATACCTGGGACCCCAGAGAACAGCCAGAGTAAGTGAGCTGAGTCTGCCTGCATGGGCTTTACATAGCATTAAATTTAATGAGATTTAAGCAGAATCCACTGCATGGGGGTGAAACAGCCTTCTGAAGAGCTTGTGCTGTGGAAGAGGAAAGGAAGGATATCAGTGGTGCATCTAAAGCAAGATGAGAGGAGTGGTTTTAGTGCTTCCCTTCAAACCTTCTGATCTCATAACAGAAACATGGTGTTGATTTTTCCCATCGTAAGTTTACGTGCAGCATCAGTTACTTGTATAAAGTGGGATTAGGGGAGGAAGTAGGTCAGCAAAATGATTTACTGGCTTGAAAATATGCCATTTATGTGAAATACCTGCTTTCTCGTGCTGCAACCAAGATGCATCCATTTTTTCACACTCATAAATTCATAAAGCACTCCAACTTGTATTTGCATTTCAAAGATTTAAGCTCTGTAGAGACAAATAGGACTGCAGGAAGGAAAGCTGTGTGCAGGCAGCTTCGAGCTCTTAAATCTTGTCATCTTGGTCTGTCAAAGGGACAACCTAAAACCAGAGGATTTTCCCCTGCTCGTAGAAAAACAGGAACAAAAATGCTCTTGAAATGGATGCAATCAGGCACGTCATTTGTAGTCGGTAGAGGTCAGACAGCCCTCAGGGTCAAGGCATAAAGCAGCTCTTGCATTTCTAATCGTTGTGTTGCGGTGCCATATCCTGGGGTGTCAAATGCTGGAGCAGATGGACTGCAGCCTGTGAAGCTGCACATTGTAAATTGGTTTGTAGTCCAAAAATCCTCGTTTTTCCTCTGCACGTACGTCATGATGGGGAGGTGTTTGGTTTCCTGATCTAAACACGGGAGACACACCTGAACCTGGACTCAGCATTTCTCCAAATGGTTTGGCACTCACCCTCACACGCAGCTGTTCTTGAGGGGGGTCACCTGTGAGGAGACCTCGCACCTCTTCGTACTGGGGGCACAACAGAAGCTTTTCTCGTGCCATTTTCTGAGCCCTCCCCTCCCCTGTGCTTCTCCAGCCTCAAACAGTTGTGGCTCATGTTGCACAGTGAAGAGAGAGTACAAGTCTTTGCAACAGTTCATCAAATGAAGCAGGGAAATGTCCCACAAGGAAAACAGATGGCTACAGAGGTGCATCCAGAGCTATTAGACACTTCTGTCGTTGACTTGGGAATTATTACATATGCAGATGCCCACTGGAGTTGCGAAAGACTTTCCATACACTCTTTCTAACAGCTTAGACAAGTGATCCACCCCACTTATTTTGCTGAATTTAGTAGGAGTAACATATGTTATAATTACAAATTTAGTTTGTATTTCCTCATTCATTAACTATCAAGAGCAAGGGAGTTTGTGATTGTACATTTTGTAGATGGGAAGGAGAAGAAAATAAATGTTGGCTGAATGCAAAACAATTGCAGTCTGACTAAGGAGTGTTATGCTCAGGCTGCAAGAATATGTTGAAGGGCAGAACAGATCACCTGTAATTGCGACATCCCCCTTTTCAAATCCGTTTCCCAAGAGTTTGTAATGTTTGACTAGTTGGTAAGTGTCATATTGACTTAGGATGCATCTCCTGATCCCAGAAAGGCTGGTTAATGAAGGGGAGGCAGCATGGGGAGTGCCTTGGAAGGTGGAATGAAGGATATTCCTGTCTTCTGACTACCTCAGTCATGGCTGTGAACAGAACCCAGGGCACACGGACTGAAGCCTTGAAGGGAGACTGAAAAGGAGGAGAGACAACATGACGGGGAAAATGGCAACCTCCTTTAGTCTCCTGCCCCTTCTGCAGTGACTTCTCTTTCTCAGGTATGAGATTTTATTCAAGCAGTCTGTGGGAACAGAGGATGTCTTCTTTGGGATGACAGGGAAAGACCCTTCCACTGCCTGCTGTGAGGATATAGTGGTGAGCTGAGCCTGGATCTCCAATCCCTTCCTTTTGCTCTTTCTCTGCCCTTTTCTGTATCTTCCCAACTGCCAGAATGTAAACACAACACTGTGCTGGTGCCTCTGGCCTCCTGTAGCATTTCCTTGCAGTTCTTCAAGCATTTGTGGATATTTACACTTGCTAACCTGGGGAACTTGTGTATGTCCTCAAGGACCAGGCGTGCCCCAGGGCAGCTGTGCAAATGCATGTGCCAGTATGAACTTAAGGGAAATAAAATGTAGCTCTAAGCAGAAGTTTCACCTTGGATGCAATTTTGGAGGGGAGAGGGGTTGGGAAGGAGATTGTTTTCATCTACCTGCGTTTTTCACAAGTATGTGGGTTAGCAGAATGCTAAAATACTGACAGTCCTTAAAGTTACAGGTGTCAGATCCTGTCCCATCATTATGTAATCAAAGGCCCTCTTGGTTTCTGAACTTCAGGATGGGTAGAACTGCTGTGTTATTTTTCTGATAGAAGCAAACTGTCCCTGCAACACACAAAGCCCAGGGCTTTTGCTGGATATAGAATATCTCTCAAGTACATTAGCAGCTCAGGGTTTTGAGAAAATAGGATGTCAATAGACACCACTGAGCTATTGAGAGCTATGATTGTCACCCTCATATATTCTGTGATACAAATTACCTGCTCAAAGTGTTGCTCTTTGACACTAGCATCAAAATATTCATGAAGATGAGGTCTTTTATGGCTTGTAGGGCTCCATATGTAATCAAAGCTATGCCTCTGCCCATCGTTTCAGATTAAAATCAAGCTGCCAGAGACAAAGTACTCAGACATCACATTAGATATCCAGGACAAGGTTCTTGACCTTCGAACTCCCAAAAAGTAAGTGAGTGTAACACAGTTGATAGAAGTGCAGTACAGTTAATACCTTGTTTGAAATGAAGTTTTTAACCAAGCCTTCAAGTGAAGGCTGCCTGGAAAAGCAAAGTCAGAGGTGAGACTCAGATTTATTAATTGCACGTGAGGAATAGATACAGGCAAAACCAACCCTAGGTGTGCAGTGTGCTGGCTTTGCATCTGTAGATACTGCCTAGTAAAAAACAGCTTTAAGACAGATTTTGGCCTCAAGGGCCCGAAACATCTGGCAAAAAGCTACCCAGGCTCTTGAAGGACTTCTTGTCTAGTATTTCTAAATAGTGATTTGTACTAATACATGACTGAAGGTGGTAAAAAATGTGCAGATACATTTTCAGAAGCTGAAAGCCAAATTATGGACCTATCCAGGCATGGATGCAGAGCTGAAAAAATTGCATGTTTCCCCCAAAGAGATTTCTTTTGAGTTCCTTTTTTATAGGGCTGTTTTCAAGCCTACAAAGATAATCCACTGACTGTTGGACTTTTCAGCCTTTCTCCCTCTTTCCCTCGGTGTACAATTGTGCTGCCTGAGGCGTCTGTTTTGCTTGAAGTCCTTTTTCACAAGGGGTGCTTTCATAAGAAAGCTTAATCCTCTCTGGACTGGCTTTCTGCACTGAATGGGATGTGGGAAGATCTATATGTGAATAGCTTTCTGCAAATAAATTCAAGGTGCAGGCCATGGATTAAGGCCAGAATAAGTTTTGTCTCTAGCAGACTAACTGTAGAAAAGCCATTTTTCTCACAGCTAAAACCAGGCAAAGTCAGTTACCCCGTGCTTGGTTTTAACCCAAAGATGCAACAGGAGCAGAAGAAAGTTTGGAAGCTCTGGAATGGAAAATCAGGAGGAATAATTGTTCAACCAATGACTTGCAGAACCCATGGGCAGTAAAAAAAGGTGGCTTAGTGCAGTACTGCAGATGTAGGAAAACCTCAGCATCCTTTTTCTTTCGCAATTCTATCGTTTTGGTGACTCAGATCTGCCATTACCTTCTCAGTACCCAGCTGTCTCCAGTCACAAGCCTGGCAAATAAAAAGTTCACCGTAGAGCTAATGGTTGCTTGGGTACAGCCTGAGCCAGTGCTGCTTTCACAAATATAAGTTCAAGCCTTCTCAGTATGAAAGAAACAACTGAGATTTCAAATTCTGCGTGCTGAAAAACACTGTTCTCTCACGGATGGGTAGGAAGACCCGAAGGAACTGCTCCCAACTCTGTAATCCTGGGGCTGTTTCTAAGCCAAGCTGACTTTAAGGACCTCTCCAAATTATAGAAAGTGTCTTCCTTCCATAGGTGTGGTGCAAAGGTGTTTTTACTGCACCTCTTTCAGGTGACTTGTCGGCCATTCCAGGGAAAGTTGTGTCTGGCATAGTAATGGACTGTGGAACAGTCCCTGAGCCCAAGACCCAGCCTTTGTTTTTTTGTATTATGTACCTGAGCCACAGGCAGGGGGATCACTGAATTAATCTTCAGTGTAGGTTAAAATCCCAGGGACTTCATCGGTGTAAGTCCATTCCCATCCCTGCACTGTGGTTTCCAGTGCATTATCAGTGCAGTTCCTCCCTCCCCTGCATTTAAAATGCAGCACTGTGCAAAAGCAAGGGCAGTGGAGAGAGCCTGCAATCCATCACCTCAAACCACTGTCATAGCCACAGCCAAAAGGAAGGGATAAGTGTTGGAAATGTTTCAGGCACCATCCAGTTGTGAATCAGGTACTGCAGGAACCCCACAGCCTGTCACAAGAACGAGGCATGCTGGAACATTCTCTGGGGTGCTGGCTGGAGAACTGCAGGAGTGACTTGCAAGGACATCTCAGTGGTCTGGTCTGAGGCACTGAAAGTCACTGTGTCCTCTTTTACAGGAAGCTGCTGCTGCACCTCCCCTACCCTGTCAACAGCAAGGAGGGTAGAGCTCGCTTTCTCTCTGAAGAGGAGATCTTGGAAGTCACCTTGAGAGTATCCAGGCAGTTTGATTTCCTGAATTTTGCTGATGGATAGAGAGATAGAGAAAGGTTGAAAAAAACCCTAATCTTCTGGTGTGAAGTCTTCTTGAAACCCAACTTGTCATGAAATAGTAAATTGTTTCCCTTGAAGAGCCCAGGGGGGAGTATCTCTGGAGAAAGGAGCCAGGAGGAACACAGCACCCACAGGTACTAAAAGCTGAGCCTATCTGGCTCTTGTGCTGCTCTGGTTAGCTTTCTGCTTCCTTCAGTCTGATACAGGCTCTGTGAAGCAGAAAGTAGGAGATTACAATTCTATAAGCCAGAGAAAGCCTTTTGTGTGGTTGTGGCTGAGAGGCAGCACAGTGAGTCTCTGGTCAATTAGTCTGGTGCTCAGGTACTGTTTCAAGACTTACAAGTGCTAATACCCTTGCTTGGTCCCCAGTGCTGTGACTGGGGCCGGTTCAGAATCTCCTTTCACCCTCAGTGAGAAGACCAAAGCTCTTCTGGGATCCATATGCACATCTGAGGCTCCTTTACACTGGCAGAACAAGTTAACCAGCTACAGTTGGATTGTTGAAAATCTCTGCGCTCTTGAATGATTTTTGACAATGTCTGGCTCAGTGTCTTCTGTTCACCTGCTGTCCCTCCAGCTATTTTCTGATCTTTCATGATTAATAAAATAATGTGTTCTAAGGAACAGTTCCAGTTACCTTTGACTGCCTTTTCTGTGTTATGTCCCCAGAGACCTCCTAAAAGTTGAGATAAGAGGAGCTTTGCATAACAAAGCATTACTGGAAGGGCTGAAAGGCTGCAAAAATCTGTTCTTTGGCCTTCAGGCCCAATCTAGAGCTACAGAGGTGGGTAACCAAGATGTTTCTCTCACCAGCTGCCGGGCAAATATCTTCTTTTAACACTGTTAGTCCTGCAGGACACAAAGGTAGTTGCTCAGTGATCAAAGTGGAGAGGACAAGCAGGCCCTGGCATGTTAATGGTACACTTAACCACAACCTTGAACTTTCAGAGCAAAATGGCTCAGAGTCCTGCATCCTTCTGGTATAGAAGTAGAGGAGAATAATTGACCATCTAGGCTGCAGAAAGGCCCCTGCAGCTAAATTTGTGGCAGGTTGTAATAAGAGGATGGATTGAAGACAGTAATAGTGAGTTTAAATACATATTTTCTGTGGTTTTTTCCCAGGAATTTTCAGAATTCCCAGTATCTTTGTAATAAGACTGCATTATAAGGCCAGGAAAAATGAAGGTGGTGTCTGGACATTTCAACCACTTCCCTGAAAAGTGGACCCATTGCTTGGGTCAGAATAATTCTAATCAACTTCTGCTTTAGCCTTAATGCACTGGAAAGCAGATGCCTCAGTTATGATTCATCACAAGCTATTAAATATGCTGATAACACTCAGGGGCTACTCCAATTTCTATTTGCTTAAGTTTCCATAAATTACATTTGAATGTCTCTTATTCCAAAGCTGTGGTTGAGGGGAACAATGCAGATGTACAAAAAGGCTGAGATCATTCCTCCTGACTCAGTTTTTCCCTCCTGTGCTTGCCAAACAAGCTGTTTCTTGGAAAAAGGTTATCTTTGTGGTCCCTAGGCAATATGCTGCTTGGTTTCTGCATTCCTTGTACACATTACAAGAAAAGTGGAAGACTGACTGATCTTTATACACATGTGAAGATAACATTTGCCCACGTTATTTCAGTACCTCCGTGGCAAAGCAGATGCTCTTCTGAGCCCTCTTCCTGTGCTCTATCCACAGGGTCATGTTGCCTTTATAGTTGGCAGTAGTCATTAACTAAGCCTTAAATCATCAAGCCCTGCCTAATTTAATGCCAGTGCCTGATACTGAAAACGATGGTGAGTTTGGCTCATTGTGCCTCTCTCCTGTGTTTTAGTTTCTTATGGAAATGAGCATATGCCACACTGGTATCCGTACTGTGATTCCTCTCCAAATATTTTTTAACCTGGGGGCATTTTCATCTGCATTCAAGAGACAAAAATCTGAGGTAAGTACGTTTTGTAAGAAAGTCAGCTGCTGAATAGAAAAGGGAAATACAAATTTGTACTGCCTGAGGGGGGACGTTCTGGGGGGGTTTCTTGAGCCTGCTGGCCACTCCCTCACTCTGTGCACCCTTCCTCCAGGTCACCGTGGGTCACCCACGCGACCCCACGGGGGGAAGGATGGCAAGTTGGTGACACAGCAGGAAAGGGAAAGGGAGATCTGCTGACAGGGGGAGGCTGAAATCATAGTATGAGGATACATGGGCATGGGACAAACTCATAGGCAGCCAGGCTTGGTGTGCTCCGCTGCTCCAAAGCACATTTCGGGAGGGTAGAAACGCTGCTCTGGTGTTTGCTGTGCTGGCTGGGTCCACACCATCATCACCTGGAGATCCTCTCACATTCTTCCTTACCTCCTGTCAAGGACACAGAGGCTGCCCTTGGCAAAAGGGTGGGATCAGGTTGTTTGGGGGTTTTTTCCAGTTTTGTCCCAAGATAAAACTGATTAAAGGGACGTGCAGGTTGTCAAACTTCCCAGAAATCTGGAGGCTACAAGGGCTGACTTTTCTATAAGGGCTTGAGGGCAGCTTTGCTGCGTTGAACCAGCACTGGCAGAAATCCTTTAGAAGGGGATACAGAACCCCCTTTGCCTCTGAACATCAAGGCTGCTGCTTAAGTGCCACTCCAACACCTGCAAGCATCTTAATTAATCAAAATTATGAGCCCAGTTAAACAACGCAGCCATTAAGCCCCGGCCATTAAGCATCATCAAGCTTTATTTGGAGCTCTAAGAAACAACTTGATTAAATGTGTTGCAGTTAAGCAGAGGGTACTGTAGATGTGGAAATGAGATGGAGGCTTGTTTGCAGTAGTACCCCAGTCAACTGCAGGTTGTCATCTCTCCTTGTTCACACATTCTGTCCTCCAGTTGTGGCTGCAGAGCCACCATCCCCATTTTGCCTTGTTCCTGCCTTCTCTCAGAGCTATGCTGGTGTGCTGAAGCACATGGATGGCCCAGCTTGCTCTCTGAGTTTCACCTCTCTTCATGTTCCCCCTTGTCCACACACTGATACTTTCCTCATTCTGGGGCTTGAGAAAGAGAAAACCCAGGACAGTTGCTCCACATGAACACCCAAGACAGTGCAAGAACTTAAAATTTAGATTTTCCCCTTAAACCTGCAATCTGCTCTCATTCCCATGTTCCTCCAAGTCTGTTGTTGGTATCATCATCTATCCCTCCTATTTGTTTCAGAAGGAAGACCATTTAATTTTTCTGCTGCTCAACCTAAAGTTTGCATCCAAAATTTCTACATATTTCCTCCACTGTGTGAAACGCTGCTCTGTTGGTATATGCCTCCCTCCAGATAAACTTTTCCTGAAATAGCTGAGCTGTATGTTTATGTATGGAAAGATCTCTCTGCTCCTGTTGGAGCAGTTGCCTTTAAACCTGCTGGTGCTGGCAGACCTTTACCCTCTGCTCTTTGGCACCTGCAGCTTGGATTCCTCCTTGTTCTCTGGGATCCCCTTCAAGAACTGCTGCCTCTGACAGTCATTGTTTTCTGCTGATGGTCTTGGCTCCAGGGAAGGTGTCTGGAATATGCTGGGGGTCAGGTTATTTGTTTTGTGTACTCTGCACAAACAGGAGATGATTTCTCCCTCTGTGTCTCTCTTCACTCCCTGCCTTCACCTTCTCGTGGAATTCACTTTCAGGTTGAGATGAATTCAGTGGATTGAGCAGCATCCCTGGTTTTTTTGTTTTCCCTCGTGATTGTTTGTTCTGTGCTCATTTCAAGGGACTTCGATCCCTTCTCTCCTTCCCAAAGTGCTTTATCTCCCTTCCCTGGATTGTTCGATTGTTCCCACAGGAGGACATTTCTCCCCGGAGTCTCCTGACAGATTTCAGCTGACATATCTGATCCTTACTGGACGTACCCAGGGGGGATGAAGTGTGTGATTCATCTCCCTCCCTCAGCTCAGTGCAGGCTGAAGAGCTTTGTCCTTCCCTGCTGCGTGTCCAGTCTGGGTGGGTGGGGAGGGGACACCCAGGAGCAGCACAGGCACATCCTGGAGTGTGTTGGGGCAGTCACAGGGAAGGGCCGTGACACAAAAGCAGCAGATGTTGCAGATGAAGGCAGGGCTGTGTAAGCAGGGTTGACAGAATTGTGGAGGAGCTTCTCGAGTCTTTGCTTCAAGCACAGCCAGCCCCACAGGTCCCTGGTGTAAATTCTGGTTAGGAAGAAATGAACTGATTCAGAAAAAAGCCGGAACCATCGAGAATTCCAGCCTTTCCCCAGGCCTGAAAAGTTTCTCTCTGCCTCCTGACGTGTGTCCCCGTGTCTCAGATGAGTACTTACAGAAGCTTCTGAAATCCTCTCCAGGGAAACAGTGATACAGGCAACACAGGAGTGCCTTTGGTTTTGGAGTACTTCTCTCAGTCCATTGAAATCTTTCATCATTTGGGGCTTTCTCATCTCAAGGTCCCCCTTTCATCTTTTTTCTCTGCCTTCACACGCTCCTTTCTGAAGACAAGATCACAGGAAGCTGCCAGAACGATGGCAGATACTGTCCACCTACAATCCTTAGAGAGCATTTCTATTTAATTGGGAGCCTCCTTCGTGGATCCCAGCAGCCTGACAGCTCACTTCTGATGCCAATCAACACTTTTTTTTTAATCCAGGCCGTTTTAACTTGATGGTATCACAACCCAGCAGAGACTGTCAGGACAGTTAGGTTGTGTATTTACTGAAACAATTCTATGATTCCATTGGCAACCTGTCTCCTGCAGCTGCTCAGCAGAGAGGAAAACAAAAGCCATACGCTTCTGGAAAATTCCTTTCATGCCAGAAAGCTGTGTGAAAAAGAACAGGATAGCAATGAAGATGGACACAGCTGATTTTGTTAACTCATAAGGTCTTGTGGGCAAGACAGCCACTTGCCAAACAGTGGCAGATTAGGAACTGTAACAAGCATAAGCACCAGTGCTCGAGTTCGATGATACTGTGAGCTCTGGGTGGGCTCCACCCCTCACATGTGCCCAAGTAATGAGAATTTACCAGCCCTTGGGATTTCTCTGGTTGGGGACAGAGAGAGTGGGGGAGTGATGTGTTGTTGGGCAAAAGCACAACTGGGAGAAGAAAGACATTATCAAAGTCTCTTTATCTCTTTAGAACGACTGTGTTGAAGGGGAAGGTCAGAGCAGACAATAGTCCTGAGCTTAGGGCAAAATGAGTGTCACCAGCACTAGAAACTCTGTGCCAAAAGAAGCTGTGGGAAGGGGACCGTGCCTGGAATAGCTATGAGGTCTCCAAGAGGGCCTGAGAGCTGAGATCATGGAGATCTATTGAGCTGGGAACTCTGTCTGGCTCCAGGGGTCAGCCCAAGGTGGCACTGGGCAATTACTTCCATCAACAGTGGATGAAAGTAGAATTGGAGTGGGAGGAGTGGGAAGTTCATGAACCCTCTCAAACGCTCCCAACAGCCTCAGTCTGTGTTGTCCTTGCTGCTCCTGCTTCTGGGTAAGCAGAGTTAGTGTGTGCAGTGCCTGGGTGACAGATTGCTGTGCCCTGACTTGGAACAGTGGATGTCACATCTAGTTTTAGGCCTACGTGCACATGCCTGCTTGTCCCCATCCTTTTCCCTATTTAGAGTAGCTCGTGTTTATTTAAAAACCCAAATAAACAAAC